ATGTCTAAATAAACAAGAGTTTTGACAACAAAAAATCTATCCAACTCATTCAACACAAGACCAGACAATATGGGGCATTATGAAATGTGTTAAAAAATAAAATAAAAACACAACAACAATAGAAAAGTAATACAGCACGTAATCAGAAACTATTGACTCCATCTGATCCGTGGAGAGCCAGGCATCCAAGTGCAACAACTTTTTGTAACATTATGAAAACATTTAAAGTTGAGGTATTCACATTCAACTCATATATGCACTATGTACTATAATCCAAGTCTATAAAAAACAGTTTCCACATGCATGGAGTGAAAAAGAGAAGGCTTTCCTCACAGAGCCAATCAGCTCTCAGCCCAATGCGTCCAATAGTGACTCACAGAGCTCTTTCTCACAATTATGCTTAAGATTACACGTTTTCTAAGACTGAAGATAAAGACTTTATGTTGTAGACTGATTTGTTTGCAACATTTAACTTCTAAATGACTCTCTGTGTTGGGACAAACAACATGCATTAAAAAGTTAGGTACCCCAGCTTTAAGAGGAGCCCATTTTAAAACCTCTTGCTCTATTCTTTCAGTTCTATCACAGTGTTAGAAAGTCCATTCTAAGTTCAGTTTATTAAGATACTTTAGTCCTTCAGCGCTTTTATTGTAGTAATTAAAGCAAAGTTATAACCTTCAGTCTGCCCACTGGAATCGGGGTTATGACCGAAATTAGCCATTGAAAAGGCCTCTGCCAATGCTTTATCATATAGCCCTATTTAGCATAATTTATTGTCCTAATTAAGGCGTACAATCAGGAGAAACTAACTTGTCAGGTAATTCCACAGTGAGTCTAACCTTGATGTAATTGGCTTTTGGATGGAAATAGACCAAGAAGATCAAAGCCAGTCAAATGAAAAGAGAAAGTCAGAATTGGGCATGCCGCCACAGCCATCATGAGACTGTACTCCTGATACTCGCAGCCTGTTTGATCACGTATGCAGCGGAGAGGAGGTGCATTATCACTGTTAAGAACTGGTGCAGGGACTGAGAGGAAGTGGGTGACGCAACCAAAACATGTAGCTGAATATGTTGTATGTTTATTAACCATGTGTTTCTTGGCTATATACAAAACTAACAAATATTTGTTTTTTTCTTCAGTTTTCTTTCAAGTTATTCTTACTACACTGCAAAAAAATACGAGGTAATAATCGCTTGAATCGAGTGGTTCCTCCCGGTTCTGCGCAGTGGACGAGCTCCCATGATGTATTGCGCCAAATACGCATGTGTGGCTCTCATGCACTTGCACAAATGGGCTCGGCTGCTGATCAGAGCGGAACCAGAGCGGTAAAACAACTAGCAGAGTTATTTTTTGCATTTAAGTGAGAAATTAAAGAAAACTGATTTAAGAATAAAAAAGTTCAGGATGACAAGGGACACTAAAATCCCCACAAACACAGGGACCATGTAACGAACCATGGACGTTACATGCAGGAAAATGATAATTGAGCTGAGAGAACAGAGAACTAAGGCCAAGCTACCACGGTCGCCCCCTGTACCCATCCCATGGGTGGGACAGCTATAAACTAGTAATACCCTATCCAGATATTAGATCCATGGTTGTATTACAGAAGGAAATGGACTTTTGAATGAGTTCCACCTGCATGTCCAAATATTGAATACAAAGTAATTTGTCCAGTGCTTTGTTTGGATCCAAAGGGAGACACACTCACATTACACCATATACTTGGCTATTTTTTATTTTATATTCCCAGTTTGACAAGAAGTTGTTTCCTTCAGCCAGTTCCATTTCATACAAAGAGAGTCCAGTAAATTTAAAACCAACAGTAGAAAGAGCAGCCACATAACAGAGCTCAGTGGAAACCCAGTAAATGTTGTGGAAGTCTATAAACGTGGAACAGAAAAGTCTTATCTCACTGTGACAACTAACACTTGTATTAAAGCCCTGTGTACGTGCTTTGATTGAACCACATGGTAGAAACAGCCTTGTGTTGTAAACAAAGCTTCTGGAAACAATATAAAAGCTAAACCAGAGTGATTCGATGCAAGGCACTGCAGCAGGTCTCAGTGGACTCTCAGAACCGGTCCATGCAAATGAGATGCAGTTCACCACAGCCACTGGAGAGAGAGAAACCAGATGGATGTTGATACATATATAGTGTTATATTAAACTCATTTTAAAACTCATGGGGCTATATGGATTTTAAAATGCACAGTATTGCTATTAAAGATCTGGTGAACTTTCTCTAATCGTTACTATTTTTTCATGTGTTATTATTTATTTACTTATTTCAGGCAAACACAGGAGCATCACAGTTGCTATTGTAACCCACATGTTATTTTGTGATACTGTTCCTTTAAATGGGACCTAATCTTATTTTGTTGGTATATTGTGGTCATTTTTTGACAGATAGTTTCACCCTTAGCGGTTTCTATCAATAATTATCATGCAGAAAGATATTCGCGGAAAAATTGCCGAGACCGGAAGTGACGTATACGGAGGTTTTAAACAGATATTTGTTATTCAGTGATGGACAATACAAGTCAGGGGTTTATATTTATGAGCCCTTGCGTACTTGTTATGACAGTAATTCTAATTTTGAGGACTCTGACTCGGTTCAGATGAGGAGCAATCTGCAAGAAATGAACATTTGCGGACATTAGGGCTTTTTCCACGGGCTGGAGTCATGGATCTATAACCTGGCAAGAGCCAGATTGATGATTGTGTAAAATTCTAATGCGTTCTCCACAATATCAACCTGGGATTTCTGCAGGAGAATCCTTTCGGGGAAAGGAGGGATAAGCAGCAGAATACTTCAAGCTAATTGGGCGAAGTGACGCTGTGTGCCCGCCTACCAAGGTTTGACATAAACCAATCCCGGTAACATTATGTCGTCATCGGCGTGCACAAAGCGCCTCTCGCTGTTCATTTTTCAAAAAGAAATTGGAGATTCTACTAAAACTGACTTGATAGCGTCAGCTGCGCGTCCGTCCTCCTGCGTAGCCATGTTTGTTTTGCTTCGGCCCGGCACTTCTTGCTTTCGTCAAACCCGGATATCCCGCCCTAAACCCCCAGACTGGCGCGTGATTGGCTTGAACACCTAGATCAGGGGTGCTCACACTTTTTCAGCATGCGAGCTACTTATAAAAGGATCAAGTCAAAATGATCTACCTCCTACAAAAATGCAAATCATATATTTATTTCAAAAAATATTCTTTATATCTACAATGTATGTTTATGTACATGCAAAACCGCATGAGCCAATATAGCAAAACACAACACAATTACCTATGTACATTTTTTGTCATTACCCGAGTTTACTCTTATGACTTGCACTGAATTGAATTGGCCATGGAGGCATAGTCCGGAAAATTGGTGGTAACTCGCTGACAAGTTTGTCGTGGTTTAGCTTTCCTGCACTGAGCGCGGTTGTTTGCGCATGTGCAGTCACCTAAGTGTCAGTAAAACATTACTGAGTAAAACACAGATGTCATTTGACTGTGGTGCCATGTCCATGTGCCATGCCTGTTTTTTTTAAATCCAAATATTTCCCCTCCTCCAATCATAAAATAATTTGCATCCACACATCTGCGTTATCAATCACATTCGTAACGTTCCAAACATGTGCGTCTCTTACGTCCTGTCCTGCGTTGGGGAAAAACACAGAAGTGGGCGGAGCTTTGATGCAGACGCCGGTAACGGCACTTTTACAGTCATAGAAGACACTCAGAGTAAAGACGTATGTTTACAAGCACTGACCCCGTCCTCAGCCCTGGTTTAGTCCTGGTTTAGTCCTGGTTTAGTCCTGGTTTGGTTGTTTTCGAGCTTGAGTCCCCGCGATCACTTTGCTGCTCTCTGATGTGGAGGATGTTCGCTGCTGCGAGCATCTCACAGCGAACAGTTTTTAAGGTAGTATGATCCATGCTTCAGTGATCAGAGGAATTTAGGGGGGTACTGTGGCGTGCGAGAACGCAAAACTCTGGTTATCTCTGTCTACACACAAATGCATTAACGGAGTTTTCAAAAATCTCCACTTTGCCCGGAGTTTTTTGTATATATTAGTTTAGAATGTGTAATTTTTTATTTATTTAATGCGATCTACCAATACTACCTTTGCGATCGACTGGTAGATCGCGATCGACGTATTGAGCACCCCTGCGTTATGGTCTTATACTGAACATGTGTCTGTGGTTCTAAAGTCTTATACTAAACGTGTGTCTGTGGTTCTAAAGTCTAAAACATGATGGTATGTGTCATATCTATAACTTTTACTAAACGTAGTTAGAGTGAAACATGGATTCATGGTTCAATGACAGTTGTGTTTTCTGCTGAATACTGGGTTGAAACCATAGACTGTAAAAATTAAACTCGTATACTTGGTTTCAGTTGGAGCTTGATAGAACTAATTTCATGGAACTGGCGCTGGCGTCTTCTCTCAGTTTGTTTGGACCGTCGGCTTCTCTGAATAAGTCAAAAATCGCAGGGACTGCTGTTTACACTCTTTTTTTGGTAACTTTCATTGCTGCATGCCGGGGCCTTACAAAATACACCCATTTGCAGCACTCACCTTCCTTGCTTTAAACTAAACACCCATTTTAATGTTTATTTGTGTCAAAGCTGCAGCAGGAGCAATGCCATAAACAGTAAAGCAGGAGCTGCGACCCTTTTTCTGGCCAATCAGAGGCGTTGATATTAAAGTTATTTTACTGATTTATTACTTATCTATAACACGAAAACACATTGCAAAGGTGGGAAATACATGTTTTCAACGTGTTTTATCAGAAAAAAAATAGTTTTTAATAATGTTAGTGCCCTTTTAAATGTTCGCTTAACGGAGTGTTTCCGCATCTGTCCATTAGAGGGCGCTATTGTTTTTAGTGTGAATGCTCCGCCATCTTGTGAGACGTTGGACATCGTATGTAAGAAAAAACGATGTGCAAAAGTGTTTAAAATGCTTCTAAAATGTGTGATTAACAACTTCTTTTGGGTTCTTACAGTTGATAATAACAGCAAGAGGTACTGGAGACAACGATTTTTTCGAGTTTGCGTGTTCTTGATCTCCGGTGAGTCTGTTGCTATGCTAAGCTAGTTTATGCTAAGCTAGTTTATGCTAAGCTAGTTCATGACACTGCATTTTCTTTTGACATGATATTGTGATTATTTCTCTAAAAACCTATCGGAGAAAATGTGAAACCATATACAGATAAGAACTATTTACAGAAACATGATTATAAGAAGGGTTTTACATTACAATGTTAATGTTTTATGTGAATGCTGCACACTCCTAAATCCTACAAGCTTCAGTATGTGATCAGTAGTTGGAGATTAGATAAAACTCATCTATATGAATATTGACTATGAGAGAATTATATGAATGTTATCCTGCTTATGCAGGTTGTTTTTTAAGACCTGAGGACTGTTTGGTGCTTGGCTGGTGTCACGGAGTTTGCAACGTCTTGTCGCTGGATCCAAAGAAGGACGACGCCCTACCATCTCCGTTCATCCACCTTGGCCTTCATCGAAAACAGCTGAATAGCTACGATATCATGCACATTCAACAGCAGTATAATCAAACTCCCCGGGTAGATGAAAACTATTTTTTTCTCAGCTCTGAACTTTATCTTTTTGATTAATCCAAAGGGACTGATAAACATTACATAGGGGTAAACGTTTTTTTTTACAAGGTACATTTGTGTTTCAGAAATGTCTGTGTGGTCTAAAATTATTAAGCCTCCCTTCCTCCTGTAGAATCCTAGAATCACAGCGGTTCACTTTATACATGTTACACTATTATCATAAAAAGCATACGACAAAATCAAAAAGCAATTTTGCCAATTAATTGTAGCCATATTCTATGTGTCATCAGCACCGAGGTGAGAGAATTCCATCTAGCACTGTGATTTTCTTCACTTCATTCACTCTGTACAACTGCAGGCTGCACTGAACATAGATAGTGCTGTACTTCTGGTAGTGTGCTCTTGTGGGTCGGCCGCTCGGACTCATGCTGCGCTCGCTCCAGATGGCTATAGAGCCCATTAAAGTGCTGTTGTGACACAGACACAAGGGCGCCTGTGTCCACGGGACGCACCTTCATAATGAGTTTGCCTTCACCTCTTCACCAAGGTGTTGCATTTGCACTTTACAAAACGCCGGCGACATGAACACAGACAAACAAGAGAGGTGGGAGCAGGGGGGATGTTGGCAAGCGAACACAACAAATTTATCAGGCCCCAGAAGCTTTTATTTTTTGTTCTCCTTTGGACTTTGGGGAGATGTGTAGGTGAACCATTAAAAGCTCTCAGTGGCCATGCCGCTGTTGTGTTTCCCTTTCACTAAATTCATCACTTAGCTTTGTTTTGGTTTCAAAGAGGGTAGCACGTCCACTGAGTTATTGAGATGGTGTTATTGAATAATGTATTGAATCACAAAGGTGCAAAGAAGCGGAAAAACACTCACACATTTTGTGAGTCCATCCATTTGTTTCCGCTTTACCGGCAACGGATAAACCCAAAGTGTTCCTTGGCCAGCTGAGAGACATAGTTCTTCCAACATGTCCCGGGTCTTCCTCTGGGTCTCCTCCTTTTTGGGTTGGGCTTGGAACAACTCTCCCAAGCCACCCCAACTGGCAAACGTTAAAGGAGAAAAATTAAAGTTATTACGCACTTAAAGTTGAGTGAATATCAAGCAGTTGCTCGTTTGATTTGAGGACAACATTCTACGGAGCTGTAAATGAGATCACAATTTCTGTCTGAATATTTATGTTGAGAAGTCAGAGTTGACTCACATCAAGTCAATTACGGCTTCACTTGATATGTTTTACAAAGAGGTTTGCCACCTGCTTGTAGATGTAATTGCTTTTAATCAAAGGCAATTACTGTACATTGATACAAATTCTACTGCTTAAAAGATTGAAGTCTTGGAGAACTCTCTGATTACAGTTTGTTTCTATAAAGCAATAAACTTAAACGTTGCATAATGTACATATAAGTAAAAAAGTATAGAGCACCCCTTACATTTGAGCAAACTGAATTGTCCTATAGAACTTGAACATTGCACACGCCATTTTACTTTTAGCACCTGAATCAATAAGTATAGCACCTCTAAATTTCCTGTAATATAAATTAAAACCTAAAAATATAACATTGTGTGGTGCCACCCGCATGTGAAAGCCAGATCCCGTCGGACCTCTGAAGCTCAGCAGGGCAGGGCTTGGTGAGTACTGTGATTGGAAGTGCCAAATCTGTCTTTTGTCCCTTAAGCAAGACACTTCACCCACATTGCCCAGAATGAGTCTGGTGTGAGTGAATGGCTGGGGTTGGTTAGACCGACCCATGGTACAGACTGGTTGGCCCAGGGCAGCTGTGGCTACAATAGTTTATCACCACTTTGTATGGAGTGAAAGTATAATGCCATGTGAAGCTTTTTTGAGTGTCCAAAAAACTGCTATAAATCAATGCATTATTAATACAACTTTCAGTGTCAAACAGACTCCCATGTTTCGCATTTGGACTGATTTCAGCAGGCGTCCTCCGTATCATTGCTTAAAAGTGCCACGGTTCTCAGCTGGAGTGGAAGCCTTCGCACTGATCCAGGCCCTGTTGCATATAATGAAGTGTGGAATAGCAGTGATTTGTTAAACAGCCTCATCAGTGTGGAGTAAACACAGGCTGGTGATGGCGTTCTCCCGCTCCGTCAGACAGCTCTGTGAAAGGCCCCCAGCTCTTTGATCATCATCTGTGTGTCGCTCCGGAGCCACGTGGGAGTGCTACCTCAGAAAGCTCACTTCCTCTAACTAATCCTGGGGTACTTAAGTTCACGCCATCGCCACAATACTTCACATGCACTGATATTTCCTAGTATATTTTGATACATGAAAACATAATTATTTCAGATACCACAGTGATTTCTTTAAAAACATTGTTTCATTAAGGTAAGGAATAGTTTATTGTTCCCATAGGTTATTCGACCTTGCATTTCTTATATCTTGCAATGCCACCGGGGCAGAGAACCAATCAGGGCTATTGGTTTTCACAGTGAAACCCATAGTTGTTGGTTCTGTGCTTGGTTTGGACTACTGGAGTAGGAGGATTTTCCCTATGCATGTTTCAGGTGGTCGAGAAACCAGATAGGTAAATAAATGAATAAATAAAACTCAGCTACCATGGATTAGACCCTATAAAATATTGTATTGTTCTGATACAAGTCAAACTCATTACCATGAATGCAGAATCAAGGGAGAACTTGAATCTAGGCCTGCAAAAACACAAGATATATTAAAACAAAACTAAAAAATAACAAAATCCTGGTAATGAAAGAAATCCAAGATCCAGTAACGGGGGAAAAAGGAGAGAGGCAACAAGAGGAGAGGAGCACTGGGTTTAAATACACAGGGAGACTCAAAAGAACCAAACACCCTCACTCAATTATAAACCAACAATACAAAAAAATCTCTTCTTTAGATTATATTTATCACATCTTTATTGAACGACCTCCAGGGTCCACTATGAAAATAAATGTTTATAGAAATGAGGTGTTTTTGGCAGCTGTGGTTGCTTTATGTGTTATCTTAAAAAGCTGATATTTACAGTAAGCATTAATTTCTTGGCTATTCCCTGATGGAGTTATAAGTAACCACTTTTATTACAGTGTTAAATGTATTGTGCAGTCCTGCCGTAAGCTTTGTCTGATTCGGATCATCAGTCTGATTTACTGTTGAAACGGCAGCACTACTACAGCCTGACATTAAGAAGAATTGATCCTAGATATCTGTTGGAAGTCCCTGTGTGCAGCTGTGGCTCTGAGCCACACACGTTTCAATATCAGAAACTTTCAGAAGCAGATTTGTGTTGTAGCCTGACACCCGAGTAAACATGTCCAGAAATCAGACTTTAATTCCCGGTTAATCCTCTTTTCCACTGGCCGGTCCAGAGTCTGCGCTGCGGCTTCGGAACACTGCCTCTCAAGTCCAGTGTTTCTGTCGGCCTCTGCAAGTGGCGTGCTCGCGCTCCCATAGAATCAGCCGGGATTAAGAAGCAGTTTGTTTGTAACAGACATTGAACAACTTTATTTTCTGCATTTAGTGCTTCAGGTTTTCTCAAAACTCATCTCTGCTTAGAAGCGGCTCACTTGGATATAGCAGCTAAGCCTCTCCCCGTTTTCACACTCATCTTGCTCATCGATTCACACTCCAAAGGTTTCTCTTTTATCATCTGCAGTTTGCAGGGAAGTTGTGAGTTATTTTGGACCACAAAGATGTAAGAGTGGATGTCATGTTTCTCCAAGCTCGCTCTCCAAGAGATAAAATCAGTGGTTAATGTTTCAAAAACGTGGCACATGGCTCACTAACACCGTGTATGTATCATAGTATGTATATATATATTTGTAAAACATAATTTTTTAAATCACATGAACACAGAAGTCCCGGGAAAAATACATTTAAAACTGTACAACTCAAAGATAAAGGTTTTTTGCTTGTATTGTTTTTTTAACTCCACTAGACATTGACATGTTACTCTCCTTAGTACCAAGCACTCAGGTTATGGACAGGTCAAATCAGAAATGTGTTAGGAATCTCAGCAAGACAGATAATGAGGGGGCTTTCACCTTATAACCACCATCTGAAGGTCCTGGCTTTGATTGCACCTCTAGGCCTTTCTGAGTGGAGTTTGCATGTTCTCTTCATGTCTACTTTGGTTTCCTACGGGTGCTGCGGTTTTCCCTACCACTAAAACATGTGCAATAGTGAGTGAATGGATGGTGTTCGTTGCGAGCTTTGATGCCAGTTTGTTTGGCGTCTCGCTTCTGTAAGTAAGTAAGTAAGTTTTATTTATATACCGCCTTTCACAGACTAGAGTCACAAAGCGGTTTACAATTGTTGTTTTTTTTTTGGGCACTTGTCCTCTCACTCCACACAGAGATGGGAGCGGGGTCGCCAGTACAGGAGGCGCATGCCAGACCTATTGTACATATTTTTAGTGGTAGGGGAAACCGGAGTACCCGGGGGAAACCTACGCAGACACGGGGAGAACATGCAAACTCCACTCAGAAAGGCCTTGGTCCGACC